GGAAGAGCCTTTCCAAGGGTAGCTGTCAAGGCTATCTTGTTTCCATGGTATCCGATGAAGTTGATGAGCGGGTGCCCGAGAGAGTATCTATTGTTTGCGAGTACCTCGACGTCTTTCCTGATGACTTACCCGGAGGAACGCCCGACCGCCAGGTGGAGTTCACCATTGACCTAATTCCAGGAGCCGGTCCCGTTTCTAAGGCCCCTTACCGTATGGCGCCGAAGGAGCTTCAAGATCTCAAGGCCCAGATCCAGGAGTTGCTCAAGCTTGGTTTCATTCATCCGAGTGTCTCGTCGTGGGGTGCGCCCGTCCTATTCGTGAAGAAGAAAGACGGATCTATGCACATGTGCATTGACGACCGGGAGTTGAATGCCCTTACAGTCAATAACAAGTATCCCCTTCCCCGTATTGAGGACCTTTTCGATCAGCTGAGAGGAGCCAGCGTCTTCTCAAAGATTGACTTGCGTTCTGGCTATCATCAACTGAAGATAAGAGAGTCGGATATTTCTAAGACTGCTTTCCGTACCCGCTATGGCCACTATGAGTTCGTAGTCATGCCTTTCGGACTCAGCAATGCCCCGGCCGTTTTCATGGACCTTATGAATAGGGTCTTTCACCCCTTCCTGGACCAGTTCGTTATTGTGTTCATCGACGACATCCTGGTCTATTCCCGAGATATCGATCAGCACAAGGAGCATTTGAGGATTGTGCTGGAGACTCTTCGCCGCGAGAAGTTGTATGCTAAGTTATCGAAGTGCGAATTCTGGCTGAACTGCGTGGCATTCCTTGGCCACATTGTGACAGCGAGAGGCATTGAAGTGGATCCCAGCAATATTGATGCGGTGAGTAAGAGGGATACGCCGAGAAGCGCAGCGGATGTTCGTAGTTTCCTGGGGTTAGCAGGATACTACAGGAGATTTATCGAGGGCTTCTCGAAGATAGCCCAGCCGCTGACCAACCTTACGAAGAAGGCCGTGAGGTTCGATTGGAGTTCTCAGTGCGAGGAGAGTTTCCAAGAGTTGAAGAGGAGACTCACTACCGCGCCCGTCCTATCTCTACCCGACCCTACTTTGGAGTTCACCATCTATAGTGCTGCTTCGAAGATGGGTTTGGGATGTGTCCTTATGCAGCAGGGGAAAGTCGTGGCCTATGCTTCGAGGCAGCTGAAGCCTCTCGAGCAGAACTACCCCACTCATGATCTCGAGTTAGCTGCAGTTGTCCACGCCCTGAAGATTTGGCGACACTATCTCTATGGAGGAAAGTGTGAGATCTTTACCGACCACAAGAGCCTGAAGTACATATTCACTCAGAAGGAGCTGAACATGAGGCAGCATAGATGGTTGGAGCTGGTCAAGGACTACGACTGCACCATTAGCTATCACCCTGGGAAAGCTAATGTGGTAGCCGATGCCCTTAGCCGGAGGAGTTATGGCCAGCTGTCTTGCTTGTTCACCAGGCAGGATGTTCTTCTTCGGGAGTTCGAGCGATTACAGCTGGAGGCAGTGGAGTCGACTTCGACAGCCGGGGGCGTATTGGCCTCTTTGGTTGTGGGACCGACTCTTCGAGAGAGGATAGTCGCCGAGCAACCGAATGACCGATTCTTATGCCGTATGAGGGAGTTGTCAGCAGCTGGTAGAGTTGGTGGTTTCGCAGTCGCATCCGATGGAGCCTTGGTCTTCGAGGGTAGATTTTGTGTTCCGAGGGTGTGGGAACTGCGGAGAGAGATTTTGAGGGAGGCCCATAGTGCCCCGTACACCATCCATCCTGGTAGCACGAAGATGTATCAGGATCTGAAGAAGTCTTTCTGGTGGCGAGGCATGAAGAGGCAGGTAGCGAAGTTCGTGGATGGGTGCCTGGTGTGTCAGCAAGTGAAGGCTGAGCGCCAGAAACCGAGAGGGTTGTTGCAGCCCCTTGAGGTTCCCCTGTGGAAGTGGGAGTGCATCACCATGGATTTCCTAGTGGGACTGCCGAAGTCGAGGAGCGGGTATGATTCGATTTGGGTGATAGTGGATCGCCTTACGAAGTCTGCCCATTTTCTGCCAGTCCGGACGACCATGAAGGCGAGTGATTACGTTGAATTGTTCGTCAAGGAAATTGTTAAGCTTCATGGAATGCCTGTGGAGATTGTTTCGGATCGAGATGCCAAGTTTACATCCCAGTTCTGGAGGACGTTGCACCGAGCCATGGGGACGAGGTTGGAGTTCAGTACAGCCTTCCACCCCGAGACAGATGGTCAGTCGGAGCGTGTGATCCAGTACTTGGAGGATATATTAAGGGCTGTGGTCTTTTACCGAAGCCTGACTTGGGAGTATGCCCTTCCGCTAGTCGAGCTGACCTACAACAAC